TGGAAGTCTTTAGATTTTCCCTTATTATAGTTATTGCCGAACGATCCTTATTCATATTTGCATCTTTGAAGTCTAGGTGTTTCTATTATCGCCTCATTCTACATATAGTAAGACTGATGTCTTCTATGGTACTATATTTCTGTGTTTGTGCAAAGCCGCTTAAGTTTTCTTTACTGGCGAAGCCTCTAGCTGTTACCGGAGTCTTCTACGAGTGAATTCCACAATCATTTATTTGCATCGTCTAAAGCCCACGTGAACATCGGTACAGCCGTCAACATCGATCTGTTTACTAATCACGAATAAGACCTTTTATACAGAAGTAATATACTGTCTTGGCTAGATGACCTGAAATAGCTGAATGTTCAAACTTTCTGCTATCATGTATGTTAAACTGCTTATGCTACTGGAACCGCCAACTCTGGCGACATCAACTCTGCAAAATGTTTCTGACCTTTCGCTACCCAGCGTGCGGATATCGATATCGCCAACTCGACCGGAATCAGATTTACACAAGTGGTGGTAATGGATCCAACAATGAGATTTCCATCCAACTTCTACTGCTACTACTGCTGCTGCCTAGTGACTCTAACAGCTTCCGCAGTTCCAGTATCAGCTGTTCTAAATGATCGCCCAATCGGCGTGCAAAGGCGGGTCTCCGTGTCTTTAATGTGGACATAGTGTGAGATGAAGTGTAGTCAGCCACACGGTGTCAATTGTGTCGGATCCAGTGCAACACACGAATAGGCTTTAAACAAACATTCTCTCCAGAATACTTCGTTCGGTCGGTCGGTTGATGTGACGGCAGCATGACTCTGCATGGATAGTATATTAGATGGAGAGACTAGAAGGAAAAGTGCCGTTCAATATCTAATATGATATCCGGAGCAGAATTTTAGTTCAGGTGCATGAGAGATAATGGTTAATGGATAGACTGAGTTGACCTCTGGGCCAACTCCAACCGGAACGAACTTGGAAGAAAACAACGGGCAGATGGCATTGGATTTATGATTTTGACACTGAAAAGAAGCGACTCCTCCACGCACCTAGTGATAAGATTGATCAAGTAACGACGTAGCTTTCGAGCAGCATTGGAACAAAGTTGGAATCGTAATTCCTTTGACAGACAGCATTTGCTAAAGTGAATACACGATGCAAACTATAAATAGTATACCAAATAGGTCATTATGCAACGTTGAGTGGAACTACTGGAACTGTATTTCACTAACGAGAAAGAGCGTTAATTTGGCAGTGCTCGGCGGAGTTACGCTACAACAGGGGATCCTCTCCTGAAATATGGCCAACTATTGATTACATCAGTGTACTGGACAGTAAGTATCAATTCTTGGCCATTCACTAATAGAACTTGTAATTTGGTTTGATCTCTGCAAGTTCAGAACGTATGAGTGGTGAGCACAATGGCATAATGGTTGAAAGAAAATTGTAACTGATGTCTGGAGCTTGTAGGTTTTAGTGCTACCAGTAGCAGATGCGTTGCACGGTGTTAATACGCTACATGGAAATGAGGTACCTGCGATATCTATTGACAATAAAAAAAATTAATTAAAATGAGCGCGCATCTTGGCATTTTGTGAATTTGCCTTGGATCCATGAGCAATAATTGCAAAGCACTACGTCAGGCGTCAATTAAATTACCGGACTGGTGTGTTTCATGTAAACCAGAGTTGTAACCATTAACCGCAGGTGTCTAAACGGGAAGAACAAAGGTCTAGGAATAAAATTACTTCGTTTTATGGGATTGCAAATTTGTAATCTCACCATATTTACAATCCTCAGTCAACGTGTGTTCGTTGCAACTGTATTCCTTTATTCGACTCAGTAAACGGCCTCTTAAAAGTAGTCAAAGTGGCAAAAAAGACAAGGTTTACGATCTTTTTTATTATGTCAGTGTAAACTATTTTACTACCAGTGCGATGAAATAATTCTCATCCAAGGACTACAAACTCCGTTTGCTACAATTTAAGATTTTGTCAAGATACAAGTGAATAAGAAACTTGTGAAACTAGCAACAGAAACAACCAACAGCTTCCTCCATAAGCAAAATCTATGCAAAAAGTGCAAAGGTACATATAAGGTAGATTTCAATTTATCCCAGAAAGCAAGAGTTCGAACAACCATTCGATTATGACTGTCTTTATACAAGTGCTTGTAATATTTAGTATATGTTTATGAACATGCTGGATCGCATCGTATAAGTGTCTTATACGACAATCTTTCGTGGTCGTATGACTCTATGTTTTCGTGGTTTGACAATCACGCCCGCACTACCGCAAATACAAATATACGAAATTTCAAAACAATAACAAAGTTTGATAGGCCCATTTTAAGCTTGAATGTGAAGTGTACCACGGTATCAAGCAATACCCAGCAGTGACCGATTCAGATATTACATTTTCAAGACACGCAGGCTCCTTCCCGCTCACCCTTAGGTAATGACGCATTGTACATGTAATTAATTTGGTTAAATGGTGCAGGCATAGATAAACAGTACAAAGCAATGGGCACTATTACGAGATACAACTTTGTTTGGGTTAAGGTAACGTAAAATACTGATATTTACTGTTGTTAGTACACCTAGATGTCTATGTCATTCAACAGTACTCAAATCAACGGTGTTCAGATGATAGCCGACCAGAGTTCAAATGGTGGCTGAACAGCCCGTCTTGAATTGATCTGGAATTCTTAGAAATATCTGTTTATATTGTGACGAGTGCGACTCTCTTTGATTGATCAAATTTTCTACAGTTGCGGTTCTGAATATACCTAAAACTGTACATGGCCTAAGTATATGTACACGCTTACTAAGCAAAGTAAAGGAGACCATAGCTTTTCCTTGGTGTGATACACGTGCTAATAGTAATATCAGAAGCAAGCGTACGATTGTTTTTATCGGCCTCCTTATAAACTGTGTTGATTGTGAGGAACGTTGTGGTTGTGTGTCCTGTCCTGCGCTGCCCTATGCCGCAGGCCAGTTGATGTCACCGAATGTCCTATAGCTCGAATAGTAGCCACGTGTTTTTACAGTATCCACAGTGCATGAAGGCGCCGCTTATGCCATCGGTGGTTTATGCTGGTGTGCCTTTCTGTCCGTATGGCAGCGTTCGTTTCCGTCTACCATGCGCCTACTGAGTATCAGTTTTGTTGAATGGGTAAATGGTTTAGAAACGTCCCGATTAGTTAAAATAGAGTCGGCCAAACCTTTTGCTGTCATTTTTTGGAGAGAACCCTGTTGACGTTATGAAGTGATACACTAGTACCGTCATGATATGCTGCACGTAGCGGAGCAAGCAACAAGCGTCGTTGTTGCATATATCGTCGAGTAGAATAATTCTAATTGGCGCTCTAGTAAGCGCATTGATTCTTCCAGTGAGGTAAAAATAGCTAAGGAGAACGGCGCCATTGTTCCGCCTGTTAAAGCCAAGCAATGATTTTTTCAACTCGTCCCAGTAAATTCTTCTGGTTACCTAAACACGTCTATTGCCTACCCTCAGGCGCCTTCTCGTTTCATTTTAACTTCGCTCCTACTAATCTAATCCACTTGATCTTATTCACTTTAGTTCGGCCCAGACAGAAGGTGTTGATCGAATATAATTTGATTTAGTAACAGTACGTTTAAGCGTCTCATTTTTATTATTAATTTCAGCTAAAATTGAATGCACGTGTCGTAAGGCCGTTATCGTGATAGTGCCGATGTGAAATTGATTTTCCTGCGATCTGTATCATACTGTTATGCAATGACTCTGCAAACACAAGTCGTTTGATTGAAAGTTTAAGAGCGACTCCGCCATTTGTTTGAATTCAAACAGCTATTGCATATTTATACCATAGGTACCTATCACAAAAGGGTACATGTGTGTATTTTCATCCGCTTATTCGAATTATTGATGGAAATCGTAAAACAATACTCTAACGTTGCCCAAACAAAAACTGACTGTGCGTGGCGTACGAAACAAGTTTATGGTCAGCAATAGATTTTCAGGTGCTGCATGGCTTGTGTTGACAAAACACGTTGATCTGGACTACAAGCATGAGTTATATGAACAGAATTGTATACTAACAATGATAAACTCAACAATAAGTGAACCCCCTAACGTCACTTTCTCTAAAAATTAAGGAATGATTTTGCCTTTTTGGGAATTTCCAAGGAAGCATTTTTTTTTGTTAAATAACGATAGATAGAATAAACATGGAGAAAAAAATTGAGGGAGCTTAAATGTGTGCCGATAAAAGAATAGAGCTCCGAAGATACCACTAGATGTGTAATATAAATTAGGTTTATATATATATATATAGATATAGGCTACTAGCGTAATCACAGGTCGTAGCAGAGAGCATCAGACAGTGGCAAGCCGACTCGTTCAGAACGTCAAGTTTTGTTCCTTTCCTCTTACGAATAGACTCAGTCTGCGAAGTTCACGCTTTTGTATGCTCTGTCGATGAAGACCCGTGCCAGTAAGCGCGTGCATTCAGCAAGTTCTTTCTTAGTCGAAAAGGCATTGGCGTACTTTAAAAACGTATCTACACATTCACCCATAATCTAAAGAGTTTTGTTGTGCTCTGCAGACACACGTTAATAGAGCAAATGACATACATGGGAAAACAGGATATATAGTAGAACGTTTAACCGCGTAAGGAACCGATAGCCGTTAGAATCCTATACAGAAATCAATTATCCTCGTGCCACGTGAGGTCTGGCAATAATAATGTTTTAACTGCGATATTTGATCTGGGCGATTAATATTTAACACATCTATAATTTTTAGTCCTAAAAATTCCTAGAAATTACTAAACGTATTATTTTCACGATTTTTGGTAATATAACTAATGATGGTCGTAATTTTGTATATCACTTACATATATTTAATTAGTTAATGTAACAAATCACATCCTTTTCGTCCTCTTTGATAAAAATAACTAAAAGAAACGTTTATGAAGATTTTAATAATCCTCACTACTTGGTCGCGATCTATCTATCTATCCAGGATGAGATTCGTCCTACTCTAGTGGAGAAAACGTCAGTCGCCGTAAGTCCAGGAACGGTGAAAGAGAAAGTTCAGATGCTCAAGATGACCTCCGAAGGAAATTTAACTGCTCCAGCACCCCAACCTCATCAAATGCTACTCCGGTCGGCTCAAATGCAAAAAGATGCTGGAAGTGGCGCAAGTGGGTCAAGGAGAGCTCTGAGCTCACGAAACGTAAGTCTCATTTGGCCTACAATGTCCAGAAAGGATTAGCACGCGTAAGACATTCCTGATACCGCTACCTAGTTCATAGAGTAAGCTATTTTCTAATATGATAATAACCACTGTATCTAACGTCAGTCTTTACAAACATCGAACAGTCGAATCACGATGCCGACGACAAATGCTCGGTATCCACCCTGGATCCTCTACGGCGCGAGTTCTGCCGAAAGGCAATGACATGTGACTACCAAGCGATGCAGAAAATGCTCCAGGAAGATTCTTCACTTGCAAGAGCCATTGACTACGTACTTGGTTATAATGCACTTCACTGGGCAGCTAAGTATGGCAATTGTGATATTGTTAAACTCATTGCAGGGACCTACAACGTTGATCCTAACATCCGAACACGCGGGGCTGTGAGTACCGACTTCAATAATAAATAGTAACGGACCGTAATAGGCAGGAAAAGAAAATCGTTACTCCATGGGTGTTCTGATCTTTACCTTAAATAATAATACATCCCCCAGTTTGAAAATTATGAAGGAAAAGCACTACAAGTAATCCTGTTGTGAACTATTTTCTATGAACCGTGTAATCACTCATTCGGAAATGATCCGTTGCTCAGTCAGTAGGAAACTGCTATGCAGTATGGTACATCATGATATTCGTTTGTATTTAGGGGCAAACACCACTGCACATAGCCTACATGTTCAACCAAAAGGCGATCATCGATCTACTGATTATGACATACGGTAAGCATACACTTTTTCGGAGTAAATAATGGATAGATTCGGTAGTATTTCTTCAAATTCAAGTTTTAAAGAAATGTAAGTCTCTGCCGTAAACTAATAGCTATTTTTACAACGTCGGTATACAGCCGCATAATGCAGCTTGCCAAGTGATCTAAAAATTTTCATGGATTTCTATGATGCCGCCATTAAGGCGTAGCTCTCATCGATTAAGAATGCTATCAAACCTTCTAAGTATTGAGAACGTATAAGAAAACAAAGCTCAACTGGTAATCATTTATATCCTTATGCTCCAGCTTTGAGTGACTTGAAATCTATAAACAAAATGTTAGGAGAGCTAACATTGTAGGACTATCTATTTTCAGGCGCTCAAAAAGATATTCGCGACTTCAGTGGTCGGCGACCGGATTTCTATGGCAATCAGAAAAACGTCGAAACTCTTCGATCGAAAATTTACCACACTGAGAAGGACAAGGGCAAGGAGGATCGGGCTAAGGAGATTTCAAGTAAGCGTCACCACAGGTGGCCGATATGGCCTAACAAGGACGATCATAATGCAGTAGCACAAAACCAGATGACGAAGAATCGCTTGTTGACCCGTCAAATATATGACACCGGTGCAATTACTGGCAGGGTCAAATCACACCGTAATTTATTCGACCGGCTCCGGAATGCACAAGATGATATTTGTGGAGGAGACAAGTGGGGGCAATTTGGCTCAAGATGGCGAAAATGGCAAGAGCTACGTAGCATCTCGTTAATCGAAAGCAACAAACTAGAAAATTTCAAGAATAAACATCACAGACAACAACGAAAGCAGCCGAATCAGCAGATGTACAAGCGAGACCAGCAACGAGCAATAGAACTTGACGATTCGATTAGAACAGATCAAAGTTCTCTTTCTTCCTTTGTGGAAACGAGCAGTATTGAACAGCATGAAGACGCCGAAGTCACAAGTTACTTTTCGGAAATGGTGGAGCGCTCCAGTAGTTCCCCCGAGTTTTTCACTAGTAACAGTAACATCTCCATTTGAAGCTCCAAAGTGTTTCTATTGTTATTAGTTTACAATATTTATAAATACCCTCGGACTTCGGACATAAAGTACGTAGGTAAATAGATGATGACAACCAACTTCATAACTACATACGTAAAAATATCGTTGCTGCATTAGAGATTTTAGTAGTGGCCTCTTTTTTTAAATACGTTTCTCGTGCCTACCGTTACGTGAACCAGACTGCACTATATTATGCTCAGTAGCTGTCAGCAAACGACAAATTCTTAATATTGATAATGAACATAGTTAGTGCAATCTAACTGAAGACAAATGCTTAGCAATACTCGGGCATTATTTTCTTTCGGCTATCTTCAACTGCACGTGCATGCTTTCGATAGTATGAATGAATCCAGCAATAGAGCACAAATCGTGGACAGAAGTTCATTGTCCTTACGTTTGCAGCACCAAATTAGGACTCGGTTACGTAGTCCTTATTCAGTTTGTAAACATAAGAAGCCAACTCAGCGCATAACTCCTTTACCTTTACTGATTTTATCCTTTGTTACAAAAAGTTAGAAGTTTTAATGGGACTTAAAACTTTATTGTGAGATGTACCACGCCTGATGGAATCGGCCAAGAGCATCTGAGGGTCTATACTCTTACCTATCCCCTAAATGCATATAGTGTATTATACAATTAGATCGACACAACTCTTGTTAGATAACTAATGTCTGCCACATGCCAGTTTTTATATATAACGTAAGAGATCCGTCCATCGCTATCACGTATTGTGCGTCCACGTGGCATGCGCACGTCATTCGTGCGGCTGCACCCATAATTTGCGTGTTATAACGGCGTAACCTTTTAGCTGTGCGGTCTCCTGGCCGGCCATCGCTTCTGCGCATGCGCTTTGTCGCTAAAACTTTTTAGCGGCTTCGCCGCCATCGCATTTATGTCCATCACTGTACAACGAACATCGCCTCGACCCGTCTGGCGTCGAGCATTTAGTGTTCAGATCTGGCGATTTCTTGCAGTATATGGCCGTTTGCTCCCCTTACGGTATTTGTTTGGCCTTCGCATTTCGTCAAGCTCTTTTTCTTAGACAATAGACCTTCCCAGCCAAACAGCTCTTCCGTCCTTTATTTCAGCTAAAGTCCAACACCGTTACCAATACTAGAGGTTACAACAGAAGAGGCTTGTCTATGTTAAAAATCTGACCAACGGTTTCCGCGCTACTAACCTTGTCCTCCATACTCTACAATTGAGCATAAATTGGTTGGATGAGCACCTGACCAGAAACCGAGGCCAAGCGGTTTGGTTGTTTCTACAGGTTTAGTCGGACGTGGTCAATGACAGTTAAACTAGTGATCATCATAAGGGGTATACTATTAGGGCAACCACTCAAACAGCTTGTGATTTGTCTAGATAATTTCTGTGTATTCGTAAAGAATTCTATCTGCAAGATCCTATCAGTCAAGTAGATTTTTTCCAGCTTCTTACTGAGAAACTAGCAGTGCTACTGTTGTACAAGAATATGGGGCTTCTTAAACTTAAATAGTAGGTCGAATGTAGAGAATACAAGCTGCTTTTGTGTTTACGGCTAGAAGACTGAACGTTCATATATTGTTGAAGCTCTGGATATCACCTCACTAGACCGACTCTCTTGAGTCTGTCTAACAGTCGATCTGTTCAGACATTTTTAAGCCGATTCCATATGCTCCACAAGCTATAAGCCCTGAGCGGTGGGTGTAGGCTAGCAAGGAGAAATATTTTGCCCAGTTTTCGTGGGGTTAGTCTTTTTTTGACTGTTAACTAATATATATATATA